CAGCTGTTTTTTGTACTTTTAGTAGAGACGGAGTTTTGCCGTGTTGGCCAGGCTGGTCTCGATCTCCTGAGCTCAAGTGATCCACCTACCTTGGCCTCCCAAAGTGCTGGGATTACAGGCATGAGCCACTGTGCCTGGCTCCATTTACAACTATTTCTATCATGATAATGCAGGGGCTCTCAAACCTGAGCATGCCTCAGAATCCCCCAGAGGGCTGTGCGCACAGACTGCTGGACCCTTCCCCAGCTTCTGATTCCATCCCTCTAGAGTAGGGCTGGAAGAGCTGCCCGTCGGAGGTGAGGCTGCGGGTCGGGGGCACGCTCGAGAACTACTGCAGAGGTGAGTGCTGTGGCTCTGTCCACACTTCCCCGGCAAGACTGAGGCACCAAGCATGCTGGTGCTAACAGCTCACAAGTCCCTCCTGGACACTGCCCTTCTCTGAAGGGAGCTGCCTCCTCCCCCGAGACTAGGCCCTGCTTTGGGAGCCCACATGCCGTGACTGGTTAATGCTACAAGAGTACACAGAGCAGTCCCCAGGTGAAATCACAGCCTGGGGAGGAACGAGGACACAGTCCCATAAGGAAACTGCACGCATGTGCGCTGGATGTAAAATACGAACAGGGCAGAAACTCTGAGAACATCCTTCCTACAGCACAGCAGGGTCTCCTGCCACTTCCCAGTCTTCCCTGGCAGAATCCTACTGGTTTAAAAAGCAAAGTCACTGTGGTAATAAACACAAAATTAGGCCTTCAGGCTGCTGGGGATGACGTTCCTCATTGTGGAAAATCTGGAAGGTGCTAATCAAATTTCCAAGTAGGTTATCTAGTCGTTGTCTAATTAAGAGAGGCTTGGCTGTGGACGTGGTGGCTCACGCCTATAACCCTAGCACTTTGGGAGGCCAAGGCGGGCAGATCACCTGAGACCAGCCTGGGCAACATGGTGAAACCCCGTTTCTACTAAAAATACAAAAATTAGCCAGGCATAGTGGCACATGCCTATAATCCCAGCTACTAGGGAGGCTGAGCCAAGAGATTCGCTTGAACCCCGGAGGCAGAGACTGCAGTGAGCCGAGATCGCGCCACTGCACTCCAGCCTGGGTGGCAGAGTGATGCATCCTCCCAAATTATGCTGTCTAGGAAGCCACTTGCCTTCCTGAGGCAAAGGAGCCCAGGTTCCCTGTGAAAGCCGAGCTGATTCTGTTAACTCACGTTTCCTGAGTGGTGCTAGGGTACTTGGTGCTGTAGGGAAAACAGATTGTGAGCCCTCGGGGCAGAATCCAAGTGAGACAGACACGTTGCTCCCTCCCTGCTGCTAGTCCATCTCTCTGCCAACAAACCTGCTTAAAATGCCAAAGCTGGTCCCAAGTTTCAGGAAAACAACTTCCGCCAGAGGGCATGCAGAGGGCACAGACGCTATAGATGCTCCTCTGACAAACACTCCTGAACCCTCGACAGGTTGGAAACTACACGGTTCAGAAAGGGTAAGAGATTTCAACTTGAGAAGTGAAACTAGGAGAAGATGCAAGGTGTCCGGATTTCTAGCTCAAGTCCACACACTGCTTCTCTGCGGTGACTGCATCGTGGCTGTGTTCTCATTACCTGCCTGCGGCGCTCCACACCTCCAGCCAGCGCCTGCCACACACGCAAGGGGGTGTGGATCTGCCTCAGAAGGTGTTTCCGTGCTACTTACAGAAAGGCTAAGCCCAGATGGGCTGAG